ATGGTATGGCAAAACACACCCCACACACCCTACCAAAATGATATAGTGTGACCAGCAGGCAGATAAATGTGGAGTTTTGTAATTTAAGTGCCTCTTCTGTGCAAGGATTTGGGGAATAAAAGAAAATCCCCTTTTAAAAAAGATCACACAACCTGCTGAAGGTGACAGCTGAACCCTTTCAACATAGACATGTGAGAAGTGACTTTTGTTTTCATACTGACCTAGACTCTGCGATGATTCCTGGCTCTGTGCTTGGGCTTCTAGAAAGCATGCAGCTTTTGGTAAGATCTTCTAGAACTACTCATAAACCTGTCCTTGATGAATTTCCAGGGGGACTAGAAACATAACTTTATAAAATACACAGGACGCTAATCATCTAAATAAGCTACCGAAGAGCAGCAGAAATGGGGGAAAGGATTAAACAAAATTCTCCCTTTCATTTGATAAATACTTGAAAAAGAGAAGTGGAAGCTTTTAAAAGAGAAAATTTAAGCCTTTAACAGTTCTCCACAGAACGCCCTAGTAAAGATGTTATAGCTAAATAACAATTATTAGGCAAATTAATTAAATTACCTTTACAATAAGAAGCACACTACTCTCACTTTCTACTCAGAACTACAAAGGATAACCTTGAAATCATCTTGAAATTATTTAGAACTGCTTTATGGTAAAGCATATTCTGAAAGGCAGGAGTTTTTCTTTCTTTCTATTTAAATTTTGTGGGCAGATGTGAGGGAAAAAAATGAATGCTAGCTATCTCTTTTGAAAAGATAAAGCCGCACCCCATTTTTTGCAATATAGAACTTGAATATGGCTCAAAAGGATATGGGCATGTCGAGTGACTTAAGGATTTAAAAATCAAAGATCTAAAATCCTTTTTATAGAAAGAAAGAAAAATGATCTGGACAGATGGGAAAATACCACAATTCCTTAATATTACTGGAACTGAGAGAAGAGCTTAGAGTATTGATAAAATGCCCCGAAAGAAATGTCAAACTCTCATCACCTGAGAAGTCTTTTATCCACATCCAGGATTCTGAGAGAAGGACATAAGGAATTTCATAAGCTATTCTAGTTGAAATTTTGCCAAGCAAGGTAAACCAATTCTGAACATGTAGGTTGTGAGGGCAGCCAGAGCCCCACCTGGATCCCTGTCACCTGGCAGAGCACCCATCCCCAGTTGCTGTGTTGGCCCTGAGGGTCCACACCTGCCCACTTCTCAAGGGCAGTGTCTGCGGCTGAATGAGAGGCCCCTGTCTGCAAGGTTATGTGCCACCCCAGGGACGGAGGATGGGACAGCTGGCAACCAATGACAGCCTGACACAGAGGTAAGACAGCCTGACCTCTGCCTCAGGGTGAGACACACTCCATGGGTCCATGTGGCCCAGAGCATCTCCACAGTGCCACTGAACCTAGGCTGCTGTGGAACCCATCCTTGTTCAGGTTTCGTCCCCTGTCAGATCTGGCTTCCCCGGCTTTCTTTCTGCCAAGAACATTCCCTTAACAAACTTCTTCGACAAGGAACCCCATCTCAGGCTCTGCTCTAAGACAAAAACAGTGCAATCCCATAAAATCTGAGGCCTTCCAGTGCCATTTGTTCAATCCCCTTTATGCTCCCTTTCCTCTGCGTCAGACAATATTCAACTTTTTAACATTTTTATTTTCTTTTCATCAAAATCTCCCCTCAGAAGAGGATCTGACAGCTTCAGTTTCATACACATTTATGACATGAGGTTTAAGGGTCTCTCTCTCTCTCCTGGGGTATTTGCATTTTAACATAACACAAAGAACACGACTGGAATTAAGGGATACATTGTTAGTGGCTAAGGAATTTTGAGGGGGCAGAGTTAACTTTTCAGCACCTAAACCAACACATAACAAGGTCAATATGTACTCTGCCTAAACACAAGTTCCACCTCAATTAGAATGTGCTGGTGTCATTTGTTTTTGCAAATTATATCCCCTGGCACTGCCAAGGGGCTCTTCCAGCTTCCTCTATGCTCAGAAAGGCATGAGAGGGTTTCTGGAAGGAAAAGCTGAGTGTCTCACTCTTTCCCCACTCCTGAGTCTCATGTCCTCATTCTCTCCCTAAAATCAAGAAAAATTAGACCAGCTAGTTTAACATTTCCTGAGGGTTCTGTGTTCAAGTACCCTTGAAAAGCACTATTTATCTTAGACCAAATTTTGCAGAGATTCACAGTAGCATTAGTATATTAAGTCTAAGAAATATCAAAGAATCCTATTTAATTTATTAAACCCAGATTTCCCTAAACTTGTCCATAGAACCCTCTTTCCATGGCTCATTTTTAGGAAACACCCATCTGGGCCGACTTTCTCATTTTGCACATAAGAACTTGAGGCCCCTAGAGTTTAGCCTCTATGGTTTGTCACCTCCCTGAGTGACAAACAACCCCAGGTCCTCCATAAGGCATTGTATCCTCGATCTGGGCTGTGATGTCCCAGACCAAGCCAACAGCCTGCACTGTGCTGTCATCATATACTACACCATTTTTACTAAGTAACAAAAGCTGGCTGCACATGCCACCTTCAGAGAGTGACTTTATGTGGTTAACAATTCAGTGTTTGAGCCCCAGACCTCCTGTTGAATCTGTATAAACAGACAAAATTGCCCAAGACTTAAATTGACTAAACAAGTGACTTGTTTGTTTTTTTTGAGGGTGTTTCTGCAGAACTGAAAGGTCCTGGTTTGTGGGATTCCTCCTGTTTGCATGCATGATAATTCTCTGCTGCAGCAGATCTCAGGGACTTCAGTGATTCCTGCTCTATTTCCATCAGTGCTTTTTTTTTTTTAAATGGTTTGTATTTTTTAAACATTTAGTTTTTCTAGATACTTTTGCTTTCTGGTTTAGATTATCAACAATCATTGTTTAATAACAGTTTGGCTTTTTGATCAATGAAGTCAAATTGAAAGGCTCTTATTCTATGAAAAACCAAAGTGTTTACACTCAGAATAACTTAGGTTTGTCTTGCAGCAATAAGCACGAGAAGAGGATTCAAAGTTCTCCAGAGATATGTCATAATGTCTGCATATTTATAAATAAATTAGAGCCAGGGGTATATGTGTGTGCGTATTCAGAAATAAACCCTCAGGCTTCATGCTCCCTTTTCAGCTCAGCTAAGGAAACCGTAGCAAAAAGCTGCTGTGGCTGGAAAGAAAACCAGCCATTTTATACCTTGTGTACTGTATACACCTGGGGCTTTATCTGGGTGTAAATTTTATCAGGGTCTAAACATGCTTATTAAGCAACTTGATAAAGTTGCTTTTTCCGCACTCAGAAGGCATACGTGCACATACAAGAGACTCCAACAAGCTAGTGTGTTGCAGCCCACTGCCCCCTCCACTAAAGAAAGCTTCCTCTGCAAGGTCAAGGAGGGCCGTTCTCCCTGCAGAATCCTGAGCTGCAGCTCAGTATTAGTAGCCTGCCAATCTGTGTGGGGAATCAGTACCCCTCTCCGCTTCCTGTGATACAAATAAGATTGTCTCCCAAATCCCTAATCTGGCATCCTCCTGGTTCATTCTTCCTGCTCACCCAGGGGAGGGGAGCAAAGTAAAAGGAATCTTGCCCTAATTATATGCAGAAACATAATATTTTAAAGTTAAAAGGGGCCTTAAACATGATCTCACTTTTGTGCTTTGCATTTCACCCAGGAAAATTCTGCTTTTCCAGGATGGCATGCCATCATCATTTCTCTCCCTACACTCCTAGAGCCGGTGTGTTTTATAGCCATTAGCAATGCAGTTTCTCCCTTTGCATAACTTCAGTAGTGATTTAAGCATACATGTACACACACACTGATTTAGGAGATGGGAGTGAGGCAGCATAAAGCAGAAGGGAGAATAAAGGGTGGTAATGGACTGAGTCCACTTTGGGTCCTATGGAGGATTCTAGAAACATCGTATTTATGGGCCTGAAAGGCTACTGGCCAAGACTGTGGCCCAACAGGCTTCAGTGGAGCCATAGCTGGAGCAACCTCTCTCCCCAGTGTGCGGGGGAGTTTCCTTTTTGCTCCAACACACACCCCACCCTTTAATTACACAAATTTAAAGTAATGCACATGGGTCTTCAAGAAAATTGTTAAGCAACAAGAACAGATGTTGTAGCTTGAAAAGGAAGTATTCACTTTGGTAAAGTAAATTTGTATGTTTATGTGGCCAGAGCTAATTCTCAGCAGATTTTGGTTTTGGCTGCTCTGGGAAAATATTTATTTTCTCTGTGTGGAGTTCTTGCTCAGTCCTGGGGAGATTCAATTGTTCTCCCATATTGTGGTGGCTAGGGCCACCATAACATAGCATTGTAGACTGAAGGTTTAAACAGAAATTTATTTTCTCACAATTCTGGAGGCTAGAAGTCCCAGATTAAGGGACTGGCAGGATTGCCTTCTTCTGGGACCCCTCTTGTTGGCTTAAAGATGGTCATTTTCTCCCTGTGTTTTCAGATGGTCTCCCTGTGCATGTCTGTGTCCTAATTTCCTCTTCGTAGAAGGATGCCAGTCATATTGAAATTAGGGCCCACGCTCATGACTTCATTTTAAATTAATTACCTTCTTAAAAATTCTATCTCCAAATACAGTCACCTTCTAAGGTACTGGGGGCTAGCAGTTCAATACATGAATTTCAGGAGGACACAGTTCAGCCCATAACATCACTTGATATATGCAGGGGGAAAAACTCACAAAATTAATTGGACTAGGCTCATGGCATCTCAATCTAGACAGTGAGAAAGAGAAACAATAGCCCCTTCCTATAAATGGCAATGCTATTCTTGACCAAATTGTGCTGGTGTTAGATCATTGTATTTTGAAGTAATTTTTCTGTTGAGCAAGATACTGCTGTGGGCAAGGGACGAGGATTCACCTAAAGGGATTAAAGATTCCTCCTGTCAGTCATTGCTTGTAGAACAGGAAGTGAAACCCAGGGAAGCCGTAGCCCAGGAGAGCCTCCGGAGAACTGGGTCTAAAGTCCAAGACATAGACCCAGATTCGCCACACTCCCCAGCCTAGGGTGTCAGCCCCTGCTGCAAGCAAAAGCCAGGCAGCATTTTTGCTGATTAAGCCACTGGTAAAGAGAACTGAGAAGCAGTTTCAATTTAACCACGGGGATTAAAAGTCACCACCAACAATTGCCCAGTTGCTAGCATGGTGGGCAGTGGGAGGAGGGCCAAGGAGGCCAACCCCTCTGCTTTATCTTCATCTACTTTCTAAGGTAAGACACATTTTTTCTTTGCTAGTTTTTTTTTAATTATGATAAAATCATATGACAAAATGTATCATCTGAACCACTTTCAAGTGTACAATTCAGTAGTTTAAGTGCATTCATGTCGTTGTGCAACAAACCTGCAGAACATTTCTTACAAAACTGAAACTCTATACCCATTAAAAATCAATTCTCCATTCCCCTCTCCCCTCAGCTCCTAGAATGTCAATTCCTCTCTCTGTTTATACGAATTTGACAACTCTAAGTACCTTATATAAGTGGGATCATACAGTGTTTGTCTTTTTGTGACTGACTTATTTCACTTAACCTAATGTCCTCAAGGTTCAGCCATGCTATAGTATGTATTAGAATATCTTTTCTTTTTAAGACTAAATAATATTATTTACATATCACATTTTGTTGATTCACTCATCCATCAACCACAGCCAGAGGTAGCTGTGGTAAGCAGGATTTTGGCCCCATGATCTTCACTCTTTGGTGTCATGTGTGTGGATATGTTATGTTACATAGAAAAATGGACATGGCAGACATAAGGTTGTGAGGCCTAAAATAAGGGGACATTCTTAGATTATAGGAGTATGAGCCAAGCTAATCACTTGGGCAGCAGATAAAAAATTAGGAGCAGTAAATCACATGAAGTCAGGGATTCAAAGCATAAGAAGGAGTCAGCACCTCTGAGGGTAGCTGCGTTTGAAGATGAACAAAGGTGGCCATGAGCCAAGGAATGCAGGAGGTCTAGAAACTGAGAGCAATGCCCCCCCCCCAACCCACACTGAGAGCCGGCAAGCAAACGGGCCTCAGTTCTACAGTTGTGTGGGACTGAACTCAGCCAACAAGCTGAATGAGCAGGCTTTCCCCCAGAGCCTCCCCATCAAAGCCCAGCCTACACAACACCTTGAGTTAGGCCTTGGGAGACCCAGAGCAGAAAAACCAGCCCAGCCCACCAGATTTCTGACTTCTAGAACTAGTTCTAACCCTGGCTCCTTCAGCATAGAAAAAACTTTCCTTGCTATATTTCACATGCTTTCAACTCCCTGCGTAATCCCTTTACAACACCCACAGTCCACTCCCTACTGCTCTCACAGCCCTCTGCTCTACTGAGAGGTCCACCTCTTCAGCCTACTCCGAAAATGCCGGACCCTCTGCCCCTCTGTGAGGGTGCACACTGTACCCTCAGGCAGCAGGGCCATCCCTCCACTTGCCTGTGTCCGTCCAGTTCGTTCCCCCCTACCGTCTTCCCCACACCTGACCTCATGGGCAGCCTCCCCTTCCTGGATTCCTTCACAGTCAGAATTAACACCAAACAGGTGAGTATTCCCTCTACTCTATAACTCTTTCACACTGTTGATTTCCTTTGTCCAGCTAAGTCAGGGACCTCTTTTACTTGAAAGCTCACTGGACCACTTGTGGAGACAGGCACATAAAACACAGTGGGAGGCCTCAGCAAAACCACTAAACCACACCGCAGTGGTTCTACCATCCTTTTCTTGGTCCTATGTTGTCCTTATTTATAAAATGAAAACCTTGGACTAGATAAGGGTTGTCAATCATTTTTCTCCCTAAAGACATTTGAAGGATATGAAACGATCCTGTTAGGAACAATGGCAATATACAATATAGTTCTTAACTCAAAAATTTTTAGAATCTTTGAGGAAAGGCGTTACATAAGTTTGAAAAATGCTTCCCCCCACCCCAATTAGGATTGCTAGATAAAATATAACAGATAAATTTGGATTTCAGATAAACAAATAACTTTTTAGTGTTGGTATATCCCAAACATTCCATGGGACATGATTATACTAAAAAATGATTCTTTACTTATCTGATATTCAAATTTCATTGGGCATCCTATAGTTTTATTTACTGAATCTGGCAACCCTACCCCTATGGTACTCTAATTCTTTCCTCTTGGGAGTATGTATCATAGTTGAAAATCACTAAACTAATTCCAGTCAATAAAAATGTATGAATTGCCAATGCTGGTCTCACTGCTATGAACACAGCATGATGAGTAGTCCCTGTTTTGTTTTTCTGGGACTTTTGTTTTTCTTTATCCCATAGTCCTCACATTCTGGTGGAGAGCTGAGGGACACAGAGACAATCAATAAAGAAACAAGTGAATATACAGCATGTTATAGAGAAAAACAAAGCAGAGGGAGGAAGTGCCAGGCGGGGAGAGGAGGGGTGTGATTTTACACAAGGTGGCATTTGAGCAGACGCCTGAAGGAAAGGTATTTAAATATTTGGAAGAAGGCACAATTCATCACAAAGTCCTGCTCCAATTTGTTCCTTAATGATTCATCAAATGTTTATTAAGCACCTGCTTTATGCCCAGCACCAAACTAAGTAGTGACAATGCAAAAAAGAATGTGACGGAAGCCATGGTCTTAGGCCTCCTCTGCCTTTCACGAGTTTATAGACTATGAGGGAGAGCTTGGAAAGTGAGCATTGTCTGAAGAGTTCAATGAGATTTGGGCAGAGGTCTAGGGGAGAAAGTGTCCCTGGAGCTAGTCTAGAAGGAGAGCAATTGTTTACCAGGAGTTGTGGAAGGGCATTCAGGGCTCCAGGAAGGATCTGCTGGAGGGCAGGGAAGCTGTCAGTCATTCAGCAAGGATGAGGCAGGAGTTCCATAGGGGACTGTCAGAGGGAGGTTGTTGGACAGAAAGTCAGAACCCCATGTGGAAATCCTTGTATGTCATGCTAGGAATTCAATCATGTTCTGCAGTTGATGGGGAGGCTTCTAAAGGACTAAGTGGAAGAACAGGATAGTGAAAATTACTCAGGCAACAACAATAGAGTCTTGTCTTGTTGCCTAAGCAACAAATTTAGCTTCCTAAGCAGAAATTTAGCTGCAATTACCTCTAGATTAGTAATATGGATGGAAGCAAAATTTAAGATATAACTACTTAATAGCAATGTTGAGAAACTACTATGTAGGAAAAAAGTATTGAAAATTTGTTTTACAATTTCTCCTCTTCCCTTTAGTTACACAAATTTGATCAAAGCCATTTACATTTATGATTATCAAACATTTCATGGCATTTAAGTTACCATGTCATTAGTTACCAGATTGGAATTCTTGTGCCCTTAGTTCTCAGGTTATACTCGATGGATAGTTTCTTCAACTTTGGATTCTTCAGTGAGAGGTGAAAACCAAACTATATGGCATCCATTGAAGGTCATCTTTTTAAGTGCTTTTTCACATTGCAAATGTGTCTTTTCAGGAGCAGTTTGCTTTGCATTTATAAAAGTTATTAAGCATCAATGCACTTCACACTCAATAATTGGCTTTCTCTTTGCCTGAACTCCAATTTGCTACTTAGCAGGGTATTTCTGCACTTTCAATTGAAAGATGATGTTAGGGACACAATTCCGTTAAACTAATAATCATGGCTGTTAAACTAATAATCTTTCCCATACTGCTCAGCACACCAAAGTTTTGTGGCAGAGGACACCATGTGCAACTTTAACTCTTAAACCCAGCTATGCTTTTTTTACATTGTTTTCTTTCTCAGATTGAGACCCTTTAAAAGCCATAGCCAGGCAAGGCAAGTTGAGAAACCGGTAATGTGTGATACATTTGGGAAAGTATTACTGACTCTTCCTACCTCTGCAGAGGAGCAGGTTCTAAAACTAGTGAAGAAAGTCTCCTGCCTCAGCCTCTTCCAAGGTCAGCACCTGATTTTGCATTTGCACTTTCCTATCCTTGAAGAGTGCCTTCCAATTGTGTAATCTGTAGGCACTATAAAACCTGGATTTGTTGTTGAGCCTATGAAAAACAGGTCACACACACCTGGGAGTAAGGTAGAAGACAAACGGTTTTTTAATTTCATAGCAACTTGTTCTGCAGCCACTTCTGTTTCCCCGAAATTCCCACCAAATGTTTCCACAGTTCTAGGAGAATCTCATGTTTCCCAAGCTTATGTCCTGAGCAATGACACTTGCTGTTTTCTCCTTCCTGTTACGCTTTGCTATAAAGAGGGGTCTTGTTGGTGCTTACGGGAAAACTGCCACCCTGCTGTTGACGGCAGCGTGACCACAGGACCCACCGTCAAAGTGGTCAGCGTGGGCACAGGGCAGGGAGCCACCACGCTGAGCTCCAGCCCCCGACCTCCATCGCCATCTCCTGAGACGGGTGGCCATGCAGGTGCTTTCCCTCCCACAACCCTTTTCATTTTCACATGAAGCAGATTGCAGCCCCTCTCTGTCTCAGCCATGTTGCCACAGGGGGCAGCGGGGAAGCCAGATGAGAGGCAGACATGGGGACAGTCCTTTAACCAGCTGGGCTTTCTCCCTACTGTGTGTTCTTTCAAAGGTAGACCTTCGGTCCCTCAGGTAAAATACACCCCCTGAGATTCCACTCTGCTAGGCTTATGTAGATATTCCCAAAGATGGAATCAGAGGGAACAAAGGAAACAACAAAGTCACCACGGGACACTGGCCCACTGTCCACAGCGGCCACAGCTGAGGCAGAGCAGTGGCTGAGAGCCTGGGCTCTGGATTCAGCTGTCCAAGTCCTGGTCCTGGGACAGCCACTTAATAGCTCTGCAGCCTTTGGCAAATCACATAACCTTTCTGTGCCTCAGTTTTCTCGTCTGTAAAACTGGGATAATAATAGCACTTATTGCATGGGGTTGCTGCAAGAAGGAAATGAGTTGATGCAGATAAAATGGTTGGGAAAGGGTACTTTAGGGAAGAGTTACAGAATTTAGATCACCTGATGGAAGCATAGAATTAATTTCTATGTTTAAATGGTAAGTCTGCTATTTGCTTGGTATGTATTTCCTTTCTGGAATAACAGCAATACATTATATTTTTAAAAATTAAAGCATTTAAAAAGGTACATACTGAAGAGAACCATCCAAGAACCATCCGTCCTCCCCAGTGTCCAGCCAGCTAGATCTCCTTCCCAGACACAATGTTGCTGGATCTCCTTCCGGGGCACATGCACCCTTCTGAGGGTCCGCGTGTACCTACAGGCATCTCTA